TTCCGCCAGCGTCAATAATTAATTGAATATTTCCTTCTATACTTTTTAGCACATAGCTATTTATTATTAGCATTGTTCTTCCGACGTCTGATTTCTTTTTAATTATAGAAAATGCGTTTTTCTAAGATACATAAACTTTTGGGATTGACTGTATAGCCAATACATCCTTAAGAAAGAAAAACGACGAGGATAAAAACACACGTGGCGTGCGAAACGATGGATGGCTTACGCTGTATAGGATCAAAAAAAAGCATTTCATTGAACTTCACGAATCGGAGTCTGGTTTTGCACGGTGCAGTGGTAATGCTACGAGGAAAATCGAGATGGTTAAAGGGAGACGGTGCAACAGCATCCGTAGGTAGGTAGGTACTGATGGGATTGCCAGAATTGCGGGCGCATGCTGAGGTTCCCATTGAAATCTCGTAAACCGCAATTGATCGGTGAACCATCGATTAACAAATTCTGTGGCAACGCGCACGATCTCGTGTACGTATTTCATGAAAATCGGTTGCCAGAGACATTTAAAAATTTATACAACGGATATCGGGGCATATTTTTTGCAATGAAAAATGAGATGATCAAAAATTTCGTAAAATCTGAGAAGCAAAGCTTGGGAGGGTTTGAGAAGCGAAGTGAGTCGTGGTACATACCCAATCTTCTTGAATCCAATCAATGAGATTCTGCTGATCAGGATCTTCCCTATAGTGAATGATGAACGCTTGGAAGCCGCCAGTGGCTTGTGATTTTATCTATTTGTTGAATCAATTTATTAATTCTACCTTTACCTGGCGGCTATTTCGCCAACTTTTGCATTCGTATAATAAAAGATTATGAATTACACAATATTGGAACGATCAGTTTATTACTGTGTCGTTAATAAATTATTAATCGTTCGACGTGACTTACCCAGTCTTTAAAGACAAACCCTAAAACACCGGCTGCCATCTCCATTAACAATAACAACGCCAGGAATATCGCATACTGAAACGAATTCATAAAAAAAATAGCATTGCGACAAACATGAAACCATCAATCCTCAATATTTCCTAATTAATTAACTATAGAAAAATAATGATCCTGATTCAGACTCTTACGTTACTCCCTTTTTATAAAAGAAACGACAATACGTGCTTGAGGAAAGTCGAATGCCACTTGTGTACTTTCCTCGTAACAAGGAGAGCACTTCAAGTGGCCCACTTTTTAACGAAACTTTGCCAGTTTGTAAAACTCATCAAGACAAACACGGCTGTGCACCTCCCTGCGACATGCACGTTTACCGGAAATATAGTTTATGAGATACTGACAATTAAAGTTATTCGCAGACTGCTCGACGCATTTACTCTTTCGTTTTATTCGAATCTAGTTTTAAAACTGATTGTAAAAACGTATTCCCCCGAGAGCCTATTTCCTTTCTGATTGGTAAATGTTAAAAAATATGATCAAAGTACAGAATAAATGTTTTATTGAATGGCGAGTGCTCACCGCAGCTAGGAGGCACGTATTTTCCCTGAGTGCACCGACACATCCAGTAAATCCAATAATGAATGTCACTGTACCTGCAACAGCAGGGAAATCATTCCGGTTGAATATCAATATTTAATTAAAAGATAGTAACCCAACTGATCGAAGAAACGAGATAAAAATAGCGCAGGGACATTGTTACAGTTTCAAATTCATCCACCGGAATATAAAAAAATTACAATCGTCTGTCTCGTCCGAGACAAATCGCGTGAAATGAATTGCTTTCGAACATCGTTAACTGGAAATCGGAACTAGCAACCCATTTCCGAAACTCGACCTTTCCGTTTGATCCTTGTTCTTTTGGCAACGGTAGACCAGATCACGTGCAAATTCGATTTGGTCCTGTACGGACCCAGAAAACGGTTTTCCGCCCCAGTTAGGATGTTTGAATTGGACGGAGAACATTCCTCAGACCTGACCATTCACGTCTGCCGAAACCGTGGTTGGATTTCTGTCTCTCGTGGAATCTCTCGGTATATCTCTGATAATCCGTCTTACTTCCACGCAGCTCCAAATACCATTTCGTATCGCGCAGCGATAAATATTAAATATCCGACAACGATATGAACTAATCCCGAGTAATCTGGCTAAACCGCTTACTTTTGTTTCCCTATCCCGAGGAATTATAATAATGAAATAGAGAACATTCGCCGTGGTGTAACTACGATTGTCCAGACACAAGTCGCGATTTATACTTCAAAGATCGGATACTATTCAATTCATTAATTACAGCGCGAAGTTTGTATATAAGACGCGTTGTGCTCCGGTTGAACTCGGTTTCCCTGGCAACGAAGGCGAAAGGGAGAAGTCTGTTTTATTCGCGAGCGAACCTTGGAAAGCACTTCCTTACACCGGCCGACTAGGTCGAGCCTAATTACGTTTGATCCCGCTTTTCAAAAGTTCACGGTAGAATTTTCCCATTCAAAATATTCCCCGAGTATTAATTTATTTGAAAACAAACTGAACGTCCAATCGAGGGCTTAACACCGCGCGTAATTAGAGGAAACATTTATTTAAACCGCCGTTAGTTGTTGCTTACCGACTAGAATGAGGATAAACGCTGGGTCCAGCGCGACGTTCGTGAGCCTGGACAGATTGTTGAACGTGTCCTTTTCGGTCCATGCCCAAACGCCCACTGCCATTATACCCAAACCCAGCCACTGGAACAATAATCAACAGAAATCCCGCTTAAATACCAATGAGAACTATAGTAAAAATTACCGGGCGATCTTGGAACGATGCATTTCGACCATGAAAGTCCCTTAGTCACGTTGCTCGATACGCTTGAACATTGTATCCCTAAAAGAAACTACTTTACGGTCGAGAGGGTCGCAGCGAGTAGGTGGCTATGGGGTGAAACCTGGGAATGATAAACGGGGGAAAATGAAATCTGCGTAAAAGGGCGAAGCTAACGCGACGTACACAGGAACGGTACGATCGATAAAACACAATGTACGCAACAGGGTACCGTTAACCGTTTGACCACATAAAGAAGCTTTAAAAGTTAAAGCGGAATCACTGAACTTGAATGCACATCGTTTCATACAGTATGTTTCACATTGGAAGTAATTCTCTCGCGAGAACTGCATGCTCAACAGATCTTTCAAGGAATATATCATAGTAGAGGGAATCATTTAGGGAGAGACGTCGTCGGGAGTAATAACGAAGAATTAACGAGGGTGGGTAAACGGAGGGTGCATACAGAAAGCTGGCAGGAAGCGCAGATTCCCACATGGGATCCCCCACTCGTTTCGAGTTCACACTTCGTACTCGAGTCGTTTACTTTTTTAATAACCCGTACCAGCGACGTTGATAATACTCGCGAGGATCGCCGGAGATGGTAACATTTAAAGTTCACTGGCAGCGGGAACATCTTTATGAATCTCGTTCAGTAGTAAAACTCGCGACTTGGTACGCCAACAATTGGGGACACGGATGCAAGAACAGGATAAGTGCACTTACCCTCCTTATGCGTCCGAGCGCATCATCCAGCCCTCCATACCTGACCTACTTGCGCGGAGCACACTTGCGTAATAAAAGGTCAGTCAAATCATATACCGTATAGTAACAAGGACTCGAAAGTAATTCTCGGCTGTTTCCAAACAGCTGCATATTTTTCGTACGCACGTTTTTCCATAAAGGGATTTCGCAATTTCCTGTACTCGCTCGAGAGACCGACCGGCGCAGGTACGCGAAGGTGAAATACAGTTTCTCCGCTTTTAATTATAAGCTATGAAAGGTCGTCTAATTATAAAAGCGCGGAATGGAAAATCAGCTGACCTTACATTTCTTTCCACGCACGGTTCTTTCCCTCGGTGACCCGAACAATTTCCCTGCCACATTTGCATGTGTATCTCATCTAATTAATCTGATACGTTACTCGCAATTAAACACTTTGACTTGGCGCAATTTTCGTTTGCTTCACGAGCAACTTATCTAAACGGTAGTCAAAAGATTTTTATTATATGTACAATTGTACAGTTGCACGCGATTCAGCACGCGTGGCAACTTAATTTTCTTCGGATCTGGACTCAATTGCGGCGATTGCATCTGACGAAGCTCAGTGTTTCACTGGACGCGTTTAAATGTCAAAGGATGGTGTTGAACTAATCAGAACAAAGGGATCGGTTGGTCGGAAACGCGTTTAGCGTGCAGAGTTTGCGAGAGAGGGTACGGTAATAACGTTGTTCATAACATTTTCCGGTGGCCAGAAGATAGGGTTTCACACACGCGCGGCGCACTTGTTCGTTCGTGTGACTCATGACAAAGGGTCGTCGAACCCCTCTCTTTTGTATATACGTAATAATCCGTAACTCATGCGAAAATACTCGCCGTACGAATTGAAACAAACAGATGTGGTAAAAAGAAACCGAGACCCGAGACGTCGAGAGGATAAAATAATTTTAGTTCGTCCTAATGAAACGATTCGTTATAAATACGTGCAATAAAATATTCATGCTCGTTTCACCGCGAGAGCTGTTTCTGCATTCTGAAAACTATCTCGAAATTATTCCACGAAATTCTACGAACGGACGAAAATACTCGTGACTCTCTTTCCTGTATTTGATAAAAGCAGTTATATCGTATGTAAAATGAAATTCAATTACGGTAACAGTTGTAACGATAAAATGTCATAAATTCAAGCTGATGCAGAAGACGACATAAAAATCTCGTGAACAATTTATAACGCCGAATGGAGATACATAATTATCCTCATAAAGCACGGCAGAAATAGTTCGAATTACGTACCGCTGTCATACATGCTGAATTACTCTGGTTCAATTGAGAAATCTTTAATCAAATTACGTGTACTCGGCGGAGATACGGAATTGGTATAATTCCGTGGCAATTATTTAAACTGCCGTGATATTTGACACATGGATTGTACGAATATTCGAAGAACACGTTTTCAAAACGAATATTGTTTGTGCCTCTCGCTTCGGCAGATAAGAAAACATTGTTTGGAGAACGCAAGTTTACAATCAAAATGGAAAGAAGATTAAACATCAAAGTTTTAGCTTGAACCGTTCCTCGGAGTTTCTGCTTCCTAAGAATTTTCTCTTCACGGTTTCGACGGTGCTCATAAATCCGCATCCGTTTGACCATTTTGTAAAGCTAAAGTAGGATAAAGCTTTATGAAAATGGTAGATCTTTCGCCCACTTATCATTACGATGTCTAGAACGTGACTATTTATCTACGTATACAGTCTCCGTGTCTGGTTTCATATATTTTTATTGAAAAATTCCTGAGACTGTTCTCTCGTCAATCGACGATCCGTTAATATTTTGTTTACACGTCGCATGCATAAGTGGCAGGGAACTATCATATCGTTACAAAACTTGTAACACCTTTTACGTAATAATTAGAAAGCGAATCGGCGACACGGTTTGTTATAATACTGCAGTCCCTGAATTCTTATTCCGTTCTATTAAGGATCAAAGGTTATTTGATACCTGAGTGCCAATTTCGACTCGCGACTATGATCAGCATCGCTTTAACTATTAACGAAGAGGAATTCGTCTGGCTTTGGGACGTGAATTATTTACGAGGGCTTTTACCCCACAAGAATTGAAGAAGTCACATTTACTCGGAGCAAAGAAAACCCATGCCTTGGTGGCCGGTTGCACTGGTTAGAAACCGGTTTTACAGGCAACCTCTGTAATGAGATTCCTCAAACATTGCCAGCAACGAGTGGGACAATTCGAATGAGGAGCAACAGCTACAATAGGGAAAGTAATAGAAACGATGCTCTTTTTTAAAATGATCAAAACCGTGTCACTTTCAACGCTGTCGCATGTTCGATGGTACCATATAAATCCGAATCATGGTACCCGAATCACTGAATGATAATGTCTGTATTTCAGCATGTATAGTTTACATGTACAATATGCACAACCAGGAATGACATAGGAAACAAGGTAACGCACAATAAGCGCATATTGGATGTCCGCTATCGTTCAACGAACGGAGGCCGAGTACAGAAAGTGCATGCCGTGGACGTGAATAAACGTGAACAGCATAATCAGTTTCTGTAAACGACAGTTCATTACCAAACGCCTGTTCACCCAGTCGAAGGACATTCAACCGTTTCCAAAGAATCGTGAGTGCAGTGTCCTCGGTATCCTTGGTGAATGACTAATATGCAAATCTGTCTACTTATATTCATGTCCCCCTCCTTTCCTCTACAACGCGTGAATACGATTTCTGATCTCGCACTTTTATTAATATTTACAAAACTACGCTTGATCGGTCTCGTTTATCAAAACTTATTATGCACGTCGAAGTAACAAAAACTGATACAGGGGAAATACGATGCAAACTTTCCAATCGAAAATCGAGGAACATTATAGGAAATGAACAACTCAGCATATCTATTTGATCTGAGATAAATCCTTGTGGGATTTTTTCCGCATGCAATATACAAATCGCGTCATATACTTATACATATGTATATCCTCTGCTTTGTAATTCTTGCAACTGGAACACTTGCTGGTACGTACAGACTGCATTGCAGGCTATTAGCAGTGTATTTTTTACAAAATAACTCTGATCAACTATGCCTTCGAAGTGTGATAGAAACGGAAAAATACGCGGGCATAAAATATCCATTGGACGCAAATGCAAAATAAAATACATTCGGTCATACGTAGTAATGGTCACTTACCCAAAACATAACGTTAAATCCAAAGATCACATACTTGAGACAGCAGCTCACTTCACTGGTATCCCTTCTGTACTTCCGCACAGCAGGCATGGTTAACACACATTTATCTACCGCTTTCGCGAATTCCACGCATACGTAAAAAAAAGAAACACGCTCGGGGAATATGCAAACCGCTATTCCCGCAAAACGAGGAAAAGAGCACCGGTGCCCCGTAGGCGGAACGAATCACGAACGCAATGACATAGCCACCCGAAAATTGTAACTCGCCTACCGTCCTCTCAACTTCGATTTCTATCGAGCCGTGCGCTGCGTCGTTCGCCTCGCAAGTCCTCCCTTTGTCATTTATCGCGTGCTCGTACCCGGGTTTCGCCCTTTCTGTCAAGCTCGGCTGATCAGCTGATCACAATAACGCACCGTTCCGCAATTACGACTACCGCCATTGTCACGTCACGGTACACACTACCCGAAGCTGGATCAACGAGACTGCGAGAACTACTAGGCATCTCCACTCGCCCTTCGATTCTCCCCACCATCTAAATCTCATTCGTTCGCCCCACCACCGTTCGATGATCCACCACCCGCCACCCTAAGAGCACCCAACCCCCCGAGGATCCTATCTCTGTTCCGTTCCCAAGATTTACCTCCGTTATTTCGTCTTCTCACTTTCATCTTCCTCTCGACCGCCTACATAATTCCTCTCCTCGACTCCTCACTCTTCGATGCAATTCTCTTTCTTTTCGAGTCTCAATATTTTGTTTTACGAAACGATTCCCTAAAGTAGCTTTTTGTTCCCTTATTTATATCCTCCTGGATATTGAAATTCCAGGAACGAGTATATTGAGTTTATATTTTAACTATATTCGATATCTATGTGTATAATGATATATGTATAAGTAGCTATAATGACTGCTAATAACGATATCTGCCTGTCCTTATTTCAGTGCAATAATAATAAATTCCCTTCCTTCTTTATTATTGTTAAAAAAAATGACAGATGTGTAATTAAAATTAGAGAGCATATAGTATGTACTTGAGATTGTGTAATAATTTGAGAAACACGAATTTTTAACGTGAAGAGTTCGGAGGAGGAGTGTGATACAGTGCTATGAGATCAGGAGTTATTGAGGAATCATTCCGGAGTTAATATATTAGAAATTATTCGACCATATTTTTAACATAATCGTTGCAGAAGAAATTAAGAACAATGAATCTGATAACAAATATGCGTTTGGTATGTATTAGACTAAATGTGCATAACTCTCTGGGATAACCTTATCCCGATCTGTATTAAACAGTGATATTTGTTTATAGACGTTGATCAAGCAAGATGCGATTACAAAACGATTTTTGCACGTTAGTGGAATACTCAATAAAACACAAGCTGGTCGTTATAGACCGAAAGCGAAACAGCTCCAGCCACTGACATACGAAATGGCGAATCCTCCTCATTATATCTGTGCTAGAAAATCGTGGAATTCTTGGAACACGTGTACGTAAATGAAACAGGCGTTTTTTAGATGGAACTATCTTTGGAACGTGCTAATTATATGTTTCAGCAAATATAAAAGGCGGTAACAGACCAGCGGAAACAGTTGTGGAAGATCTGTTCATTCGAAATTTTATGGAAGGAACATGGCACGCATTGTGTGCAAGCGAAATAATTATTAAGCGTCAACATAACATGATTAGAATATCTAGTATTATTTTGCGCAAATTGCCAGCTTACAAAATGTACTTTCTACTTGGCTATAGCGAACATCTTTTAAGTTACTGGCTACATTGCCCTGTGAAACTGGAATTAGTAACGACGCAAAATAAAGAGGATGTGATATACAAAATAATATAAGATTTGTAATTTTAAGTAACAAGTGTTGTACAAATAAAGGTACGACTATTAATTTATTCTAACGCTATCATTTCTTTCCTGATCTTGCGGTATTTTTACGTATCGAGAAATACTGACAGTAGTTTTCAAAAAGATTTATTTATAACTTATAAAATAGTGGAAAAATCATATCGATACATTTAAAAATTAATGTACAATTTACATCATCTTAATGTATAAATTCATCCATGATCTTGTAGCAAACGTTTAACAAATAAAAGGCTCGTTACACCTGCATATCTTTGGTAATATAAAGATGTCATTAGAATATTACTATTAATGCAAAGACACCGTAAAGAAGAGCACAAGGATAGGCGATAAGTAGGCGCTGATTTTCTTCTCCAGACATAGTGGTAAACAGTCTGGATGCAGAAAGTGTCGACCAAGCTACGGTAAACATGGCAAAAATCAAACCGATCGAGCCTTTCAAAGTAGAAAAGATACTGAAACCAGCAAGGGCTACAACGGGTATCAAACAGTAGCCTAGTACAGATGCTACAGAGGATAGTGTGATATTATTGGAAGTGCTCATCAAGGAGAGAAGAATGTACATCAATATACACGATGTTACTGCTAAGCCATAAACATAACTGAAATGTGCTTTAGAACCAGCTAATAGAAGGCACCCAGCTAGCATCAAACAAAATGCTACTGGGCCAGCTAAATCAGAATCCTGAAGTAAATAATTTGCATCATCTATCTGTGCCCTCCTATGAAATGGATTCAATACAGCCAATGTTTTCTGTAAAATTCTATCTGGATCTATGCCTAGTTCTTCTAGGAGGGGAGGTTCATCTTCTTCGTCGACAAATCCCGCAGTGCCTAAAATGACAGTATCAAACACACCACGAATGAGATCATGACAAATAAACAATATCAACCATTTATATAATTATTCCAAAACCTTTTGTAAAATTATCCTGAGGATAGAGATCGCCGCTAAATGGACTTTGAGTCGGGTCGAGATATCCTTTTTGCTTGTAAGAGGAATAATCTCCGGATTGTTGGTCGCTAAATGTTTGAAATTCGAATTGTTGGTTGGGTTGCCCGAAACCGGAGGAATCGAAATTATATTGTCCTTGGGGCGACTGGCCCCAATAATTTTCTGCTCCCGTATAACCAGACATTCGGACAATGGTTCGGCGTATAAATTAATTTAGTCTGTCAGATTTAAAATTTTGTTAACACCCACAGTTGTCGTTCATACAGCTGTTGTTGGCTGTTGTTCACACTGTGGTCCACACCATGTCCATCACTGGTCGTTGTCGCTATTATCGCTAGCGCTAGTTGTTCTTTCAATAGTACGTGTTGTATGTACATAGTTTAGTCATGCGTATTGTGTATTAGCGGCGTGGTTAGCGGAAGCTTAGTTGCGAAGCACAAGCACAATATTATTATTTACGACGTATACTCAGTTGTTTAGTTTCTAAAAATGCCAAAATATTACTGTGATTATTGTGACACGTACCTGACCCATGATTCGCCCAGCGTACGGAAGACTCACTGTCAGGGACGCAAGCACAAGGATAACGTGAAATATTTCTATCAAAAATGGATGGAGGAGCAGGCACAACATTTAATCGATGCCACGACGGCGGCATTCAAAGCTGGGAAGATCGCATCTAATCCGTTTGCGGCGAACAAGGGAGCAGCGATCCCTCCGCCACCGAATCTTGGACCTCGTTCCGGACCACCTCAGGGTCCACCAGGTATGATGCCACCACCAGGGATGCATCCCGGAGCTCCAATGGGACCTGGAGGACCGATGATGATGGGACCACATGGTCCAATGCCACCGATGATGGGAATGAGACCACCTATGATGGGCCCTATGGGGCCAATGGCTCCAATGATGGGTCCTATGGGACCAATGGGTCCGATGAGGTCTTCGATGAATGGACCACCACCACCCATGGGTGGTCCTCCACCGATGAAGACATAATCAAGAGAATTACTTTCACTACATTGACGAAAGCAGGCTATGTACATATAAAAGAATGAGATATACAGAAGTACAGTGTTGAAATCTGAATTTTCATTTTGCAATTCATGACATTTTTGAACATTGAAATGCAGAAAGAACCACAGACTTTTCTAAGAATTGAGGAACATGTAACATTTATTCTAATTTGTGCAGTTCATGTAATGTTTCATTAATCAAAGTAATTTTGTATTACAAATAGTTACAAACAATACATGAGTGTGTGATAAGAATAATGCGGTTGATACAAAAAAGTCTTTGTTTTATTTACAAAAGAAATGTCAGCTTATCCATAATAAACTCACATTTTACATTATTACATGGCAATTAGTTACAAACTAACAGGCATCATGAAACATTTGTATAAGCCTTCTCAATGTACAGCGTTTATTTTAAACTTATCACTTGTATATTTCGAATTAAGATAATTTATTATTCTTGTCTACAATGCAGAAGACTCCAGAATAAATTTTACCTATTTTACTTTTAATAAACTTTTACAGCTTAACTGTATATAAAATTAAAAAAGTAAAATCCATTGAAAATAGAAACATACTTTTGTACGAATCATTTAAAACTATACTGCAATTAAAACGGCATTGTAGTAAGTAAAATTTATTGCAAATAATTACAAAACGCACTTACATATTTTCTATGATCATTTTCCATATTCACTAATCTTTGTAACGTATCAATATGCTCTTGTTTAAGACTTTTATCATTGATTCTTTTCCTGATCTCATCAACTGCTTTATTCATGTACGGTAACTCGAACTTCAGAGCTTCAGCTGTAAGCTGATTAGCTTTACTTTGCAAAGATAACTCTATAGTTGCTATCGGGTTCTCTGTAATTCCTAAGCTATTCCCTTTCTTTCCTTTCTTCGACTTTTTCTTCTTAGCAGAAGTCGGAGTGGAATCAATTACGCCACTCTGTTCTTGTAGACTGCCTGTCTCAACCGCTCCGATAACTTCCGATTGTTTCGTGGTGTTATCTTCTGAGGAAGTAACATTTGTACTAACAGTGTTTGTCACGTTATCGTTGGCAATATTTTGGTCATGTGATGATTGCATACTGTCTGTATGATCAACGTCCGTGATTTCAATGATATTGCTTTCCATATTACGTATAGCAGCTTCGTTATCTGACTGAATGTTGTTAAGTGTTCTCTCCACAGGAGCAGTTACAATACGACATTTCCTTTGCGGTTGAACTCTATTCGGTGCTTTATTTTTGTTTCTGTTTGCTGCTTGTCTGGCCATATTTGACTGTCGTATTTGGTCTATGAACTGTTCATAAGCATTTTTATTACATTTCTTTTTCTTCTGCGATTTCTTACATCCCGTATTCGCCTCTTTACACTTGGATTCTGTATTCGGTTCCTTACAATCGTTCTGTTGTTTTTTTCTTTCCGATTTATTGTAATTTGTAAGGAAACATTTTACTTCACCCTCTTTTAATGCACGAGGTAAAAATATTTTATTATAATTAATAATAGCAGCTAAATAAGATGGTGTTGTCATTTTACCGTTTGACCTACATCCCTTGCCTTTACTATGTCTTTTAATTATTTGTTTTAATTTAGTTACTGGCTTAGCAAACTTAGGTTTCGTAAGAAACACTTTCAACAACTCGAGTCGAGCACCGATCAACTTCGCTGACAAAGCTCTAACTATCATTATGTTATCGGCAGCTTCACTCAATGATTTTTCTGTCTTCTTTATTTGATGCCAGATACAATTCGGATTCTTTAAATTCGTGGTCAACTCCTTTAATTTTGTGTCTAAGAATGGAATTAGAATGTTGAAATTACGAGGAATATGCATAAGAAAGCTCAAGGTTTTATCTTTATCGTCGAGTTGCAGCCAAAAGAGAAAGACTTCAAGTAGGAGACGAGTGTGGCCAACCAGAGATCGAATTCTAATTGTCGGTTCCTTGTTCAAGTCATAGTACACTCTAACTTCAAATTCAACTAGCTGACGAAATTGATCCAAAAAAGTTGGAGAAACCTTCCCTTGCATGAAACTCTCTACGTCGGAAGGTATAAGCTTCGCGTTGCACAGTTTTCGTATTCTTTCTTCGCCGTTAGACTTAGTCGTGCGAAATGTCCCGTATGCGTAAACGATACGACAGCCTTCGAGATCCTCATCAGTAAATATCAAGCACGTTTTCTGTTTCTTTAATGGAATTACGTCTGGGTCACTTTCTTTCTTAGTGGAAGTTTCATTTAGCTCGTTATAATTCGAGACAAATGCCGGTGTCGGGAAATGCTGCGACCATCGATACTCTTTGCACGTAGATGATTCGTGTCCTCGCTTCGTGCAATTACAACAATAGAGTGAATTAGCAGGTTTCATTACTTGAGATAAACTTTTTGGCGCATTTACCTCGGTTATTGTTGTCTAGAAAAAACAGAAGAATTACCTACGCGGGTACTGGGGAACAGGTCTTTTGATAGAAAACATAAACTTACCGTCTGATGAAATCTTCTCCAGAGATCGGGACATTTAGTCGATACGTGCCCCACTGCTTTGCATGTGTTACAATACAATTTACTACAAGTTTCACAGGTCTTGCGAAATGTGTTTTGTTTCTTGCCGCACTATAAAAAATCGACATGTTATTACATGATTATAAAACATAGATTGCTAATGATGTGTATCCGAACCGTAAGACACATCTTCTGAGGGCACCTAGTCTCCTTGTGCCCATCCTTTCCGCATATGTAACAGAGTACAATTTTCTGCGGTTCCGAACAACTATGTTTCATATGACCGAACTGGTTGCAGTTGGTGCATCTTTTATTCCCGAGCTTTGTCGTTTTGAACAGACCAGGCATTAGATCTTCATCTAAAATAGCCCAAAGTCTAGGATCCTCTATAAGTTATTAAAAAAAGAAAAAAAAGATGCGGCATACTTATATGTACTGAACTTAAAAGCAAAATATGAGTCATAAGTTTCTATGTACTTACTGGACATTTTACTTTGAATTTCTTTCACGTCGAAATTCTCTTGCCCTTTAGATTCATTATAAAAGGCTTTAAGCTCATCTGACATAGGTCGAAAGAAATAATCTTCATCATTCCTTATTTCAGGACTCATTTTAAGACGTTTCGTTTCAGTACACTCAGTCTCTTTGATTGCACTAGTAGAAGGTTCACTCTCGTCTTCAAAATGTCTTTTTCTACTGTTTGCATCGACTATTTCCATATTCACTTTTTCTATATTTTCAACATCGCTGAAGTTCGATATCATTTCATCTTCTGCATAATTAATCGATTCACTCTTATCCCTTTCGTATACGATGTTACTATCGGTCACAGCTTCTGACGGTAATTGGGATTCAGTTTCGTTATCTTTACCAGTTTGAAGTAAATGCGAACTTTCTGTAGAATTTTCAATCTCACACTCGTTACTATGCTCTCTACCTTCGTTAGAAGACTTTGGTTGTTCAGATTGAACATTCTGGATCATTTCCATTATTTCTTTTATACTCGAAGCGCCTTTCTGCACCGCTGTACAATTTAACATTATGTCACCGAGACTCGACATGTCATTTATACCATCTATGATGGTCGAAGTGCTATCCTCTGTATCGTCACTCCGAGCATCTCTTTCTCTGACTTTTGGCAAATAAGTTTTATTGGTCCTAATAAACGAATAATCTATGTCCATGTCCACGTCTGTAGATGTATCCGAGTCTTGATCATCGGAATCTTGCAACTGTATAACAGGTGGCTGTGGTTTTGGTGGGATAGGAACTTCCAAAATCGATTCTTCGCTGTCTGAATCCGACACTAGTGATATTTCTTGAGTGACAGTATGTACTTTCTGTGTTTTACTTGACGTGTCATATTTTGTATGTTCTTCCAGCTGGCTTATAGCTTTCTTATACCTATCCAATTCTTCCTGCTGTTGATTCATTTTGCATTTATCAGAGTCTTCTTGTTGATCATTTGCTTCATTCACTTTTACTCTTGCTTGTTCCTTGTTCTCTGCAATTTCCTGCAATCTCTTTTCTATGTGATGATATTTCTTCTGATATAAATTATTGATAAATGACTTAGAAAACTTATATTTGTTTAAAATATTATCTGGATCTTGTAGGTTTCCATTAACAATACATATTGTAGGATTTTGATGATTTACATGCTCATGTTCTGATGATTTCCCTTCATTGTTGCTTTCACTTTCTGTCTTTACATGAATATTTTCTGTACTACCAGTGTTATAAGATTTAGAGTTTCTATCAATATTGTCAGTATTACAACATACTATTTGATCTTTTGAAAACTGGATATTTTCATCAGATACGAGAGATGTATTTAATTTACTTTTGTTACCTACTTTCATAGGTAATGTTTCACTTGTATTCTCCAAATCAATCGATGTAACATCTGGTTTGGATTCTGTTTCATTTGACTTAGAACTGCCAGAATCAATTGATGAACACACTTTCCTGGAATCCTTAGTAAAATTACTTTTCACAGGAGTATTGCAGGGTCCAGAAGTTTTATCAACAATCACATCTTTATGCAAATTATCATTATCAGTGGTACTGGTTTGCGGTTTAACATCCGCCTTGCTACCTATTGAGGAATAATAAATTTTGGAATACAATCTTGATTGTATATCACGATTGGTTTCCTCGTCGTCGCTGTTTTCAGCTTTACAATAATCTGTGAAAAATGATTCGTCGAAATTACAGACTGATTACGCAAAATCGAAGAAGGTTAAAGGCAAGTGTTCCTACCACGAAATACATTAAATTCCATCCTCTTTCGTACGGTTAGGAAGTAGAAAACCTTCGGTTTTAAAATGTATATAGATCTCTAGACATGCAGAACGGAAGTTATTTACGTTTTTCAATAGTAATTCATACAGTTCTAACAAAAACACACGTGCTTAGATTCCACAAATTTCATATTCAGTATACATGCTGGTTATTCTTTCTTTGTGTAAAATCTGTGGCAGGCACTGTGGCACTTGGCAGCCATGGATCTGGTGGGGTGCCAGTAACGGGAAGACTAAAAACTTAGGTGAATTAGTACTCTGCTGCTTTAGTTAGAGGGCATTTACAGTGAGAGGAATTTATTTCTGAAATCTACATCAATAAAAGTCCCAATTTACACTTCATCTCGTTTTTACAGTTATACAAACGAAATATAGGAGAGCTATGCAGAATTGTACAGTAGAGAATTTGTGCGATACTTTTGTATCGTCGCTAGTTTAAAGGTATATGCGATTCTCTCACGATTTTGCGATATAAGCAGTACATTTTCATAATTCTAAGGGGTATAGAAGCATTCTTTAGGCTTTCAGCTTTAATTTAAATGCAATTTCATTACAATTCGTGCAGTAGAAGCCGAGGTATTAATGTTTTTCTAAAGTTCTCTTTTCAATGCTACACCCGGGAGGTGCTACCACCGGTATTTTCGTAGCAAAAGTCGGAACTAAAATTCTCTTATACACCGTAAAATATGCTTTTACGAAAATGCAATTATCTCAGTTTCCCGTGAACGGATTTTAACGTTTCGCGACTCAAATTAAAGCTGACATCCTTTATTTTCTTTTATTTCTGTGGGAATTTTAAAGAAGTCAACTCTAAAGGAATGAAAATGGTCCGTAAAGAGAAGCTTTCAATGATACGAATGAGACGATTACTAGAAATATTGCTAAACTTCAATCGTTGATATCTTTGTTAATATCGGTTCCCGTTACATAAACGGAGGGTAAAATTGAAGCTTAAACGTTCTACTTCAATTAGTTCCTGTACAGTTTTACTTGAATCGCGTGTTTCATTGCGTTAAAACGAAATTTTGCCGTGGCGGTAGCTTCGGGAAGATTCGGCGGTAACGCAGCCAATGAGGCTCAGTCGGAGTTTGCGATGAGTGCAGTTGATAAATGGAGGATTTGTGTTTGTCAAGGTAGTTTTGTTTACCCGTAAATTTTCATTCGGTATTAACACACCGTGCGTTTTGTGTGTGCTAAGAAGTAGATGAAGGTGCGTAACAGTTCCCTTCGGGTTTCGTATTAAATTTGAAAGGTAGGGAAACCGTCCGGTCAGAGAACTGTATGTTAACGCGGAAATTTGTTCGAAGCGAACGAGCTGTGCAAAGATGAAAGATCGTTCGCATTAGAAAAAATACGCTGCTTTTCGAAGCATCGCCACGAGAATTCCATTCACGTCTCTCGAATGTTTATTGTCAGTATGTTCGTAAGAAGTAATGAGGTTAGCTTTCGGATATCGAGTGCTTAGCGCCTACATTTTCGCTTCATAGGTTATAAGTTTACTTTCGTAGAGTTAGTAAACGATGCATGCCCAATCGAATAAATTACTTCGAAATAAGATGAAACATTTAACTAGCAATGCGAAATAGTTCGTGTCTCTTTGTCGCAAGTACATGTCTTAGTTATGTCAACGTAAGATCGGGGTAATAAATAACATGCATAGTTTTCTATCGTTCGTCGATATGATCCAACGTTTCTAACAATTGTTCCAGTATTTTCAATGATTCTAAACCTTGGTTCTTTATCTGTTCAGGATTTAAGATGTCCCGCAATCATAAGGACAAGTATGAAAACTCTAATCCACGTCGCACACACACCTTCATGTCTACAGAGGATGCGAACTCTGGAAAGAAATCTTATTGGCCAGAATTGGAGATAACAGGCAGTATAAGAAACCTAAGCCCAAATTTATGGCAGCTGACGCACTTAACAGCTCTGTATCTGAACGATAATAGTTTACAAAGGATACCATCTGAGATTGGACGTTTAGTCAATCTACGTGTATTAGATCTCAGTAGCAACAAATTACGCAGTTTACCAGCTGAACTGGGGGACCTCATCTATCTCAGGTAATTAAATTTCCAATCACGATTCAAATGAGTATAAACAATGAACGTAAGTAAAATATACACGTATTCCGTTTGTTTCAGAGAACTCTTGTTAAACCAAAATTACCTCCGTGTGTTACCATACGAACTAGGAAAATTGTTCCAGTTACAAATACTTGGACTCCAAGGGAATCCTCTCAGCAAGGAAATAATGGCATTGTATGGAGAACCATCGGGGACTCACAAGCTGCTCTCGTATATGCTGGACAATTTACAAGGTAAGTGATCGACATCCCAGTTTATCTGATCATTATTCACAATTTTACAAACAATTTAATCGTTTTATATTGATACAATGACGATTCATTATTAACGTAACGATAAATTTTAAAGACAACAATATCGATAGATCGCTATCGAGTTCGATTAATATATAAATTGCGCCGCAAGATGGCCGCATCTGTCCGCTTTCCGTGTCGACTGGACGAACTTCATAATTTCGCCTTCTGCGTAGTTTTACGTTTCGTATCGTTTAAGTAATTAAGTATTGCAGTTATAAATTGTTACAATGAAAACAATTAGTGTCAAGTGTTCGGTGCATGAGACGATTGCTTTATGAATTCGACAATATTGTTGAGGTAAGAGAATCAACGATTGTAATTATAATTTGAGAACTTTTTTATTGTACGTTGTTCATTTCATATTTAGCCTTATTTGATTTACACATTTATGCCATTCTATTCATTTATTACTCGGAACAACTGGTATTAATCATAATCGATCCCCGATCAAATAGTACCGCGAGCAATTGTCACGTAGATTAACGCGTTCATCTAAGTGTAAAGCACGGTAAAGCGGCGCGTTTGTGACAGGTCGTAAAGAGTGTCGCGATATCGAGTAGGCCCGTGGACCGTTCAGTGGCATAGTAGCATTGGAGATCACGTTAGAGCCTATATAATTTAATTTCTTTCAACCTCGTGACGAAGTGGGTGCGCCGGGGCGCAGACGTGTTGGGTGTACAAGTGGTCGCGTCAGGGAATGGTCGGGGAAACGCGGGGGAGAATCGCAACGAGGGCCAGAAGGTAGGGCGTACTTCTATCCATTGTGTTTCATGATTTTTCCCGGTTACTCGATTGCCTGAAAGGTCTTGGCCGTACCATTCCGTTTATCCATTGTTCTCCGACTTTTACTATTCAGTACACTATGCCTGTCATTTTCACAGAATACTTCTTTGTCATCATCGCTCTCTTTGCTTCGTTCTTTTTTTTCGTTTTTCCTATCTTCGAATCGTGTTCGAACTGTATCTAGCAAAAAATCCCGATGCTGTATTTGTACAACAACGATCCTAGCCTGGTATCGAATCTAACGATTGTATTCTATACGAGAAGGTACTATAAAAAAGGGTATAACATTCTGAAACTTTTTTTCGTAGAAAATAATCGTTGACGATCGTGAAACATTATTTGGAAATGTTACTATCGCGACCCATCCGCAGTATTTACTGTCAGCACAGATTTCAGTTATCCAGCGACACAGCTAATCGAGATAAATTAGGGTATACGTTCGTTCAAACTTCCGACTTTCGAAACCTTGCAGCCTCGCGTGCACCGCAATGTCTATATTCATTTCTCAACAGGAGAATCACGTTGAAAGTTTCGCGCGGATATTCGATGATAAAACTTTCCAATATATACTGTTCGAATAATCAGGTAGAAATCTATTTCTAATCTCTGTCGATTCTCTCCCGATATCGAAACATACGTTCGCCAGTGTTAAAAGTTCGCTGGTAGGAGCGTAACTTCTTTCCTCAGGTGTGTCTAAGTAGAAATAGAAAGCGAATAAGAAAATGTTCGCTTTAAAAATTGGGTGAGACGAGTGAAAGGGGTTCCGGTTGGTCCCCTGAAAAAAAAAGAAACGAAAGAAATTATACGCGATTCACTAGGTTGCTCGGTGGTACCTCACCCGTATAATTACATGGGGCCTCGGTCTCGGCTCCGAGTAATTGAGGACGAGCCGGAGAGGAGAAAGTGAACCGCGGTTTTAGTGTGCTGTACACCGTGGCGAGAGAGCCCGTATGAGTCATTCGTTATTCGGCGTGTACACACGGTTAGGCATTGAACACACGAGCCGTGAATCCGCGATGACACGCGTTACGAATTCGTTTCGATGCCACTTCGCCGGCGTCCCCGTTACATTCCCCTTTTTACTCGTACTCCCTGGAACAGATGCGAGATCGAACGACACGTTTCGAAAGTAGCTTCCGGGTAGAAAATTGATTCGCAATTTTTGTCAATTTAATCCTCGAACGAGCGCGGCACGTTAGTTTGAACACTAGTTTTTAATCAAAAATGAAATCAATGTAATTATGTCGGTCGGTTTACTACATTTGCGGCGAACAGAGTAGACGGTACATGTAAATAGAGCGGTATCGTGGCTCGATCGTTTTTACGGATGCAGCCAGTCTTTCTATTTCACATCGAATCGCATTCGCTGTGGTTTTTGCGATTCGCTGAACGATTCGGACGTGGGAAACCGTGAAGTGTTTTCAGGCGGAAAACTCGTTGCACGTTCCACCGGTGGATACTTCTTTTTGAAAGTTGAACGTTTTTTATTGCCTCCTTCCGGAGTTCGTTGAAAATTACTTCGTTCGTTAAGTTGAAAGGTTCATTTCAAACAAAATTACATCGGGTCCTGGCTCACGGTTGCGCGAACGCGGTTGCACTTCCTCACTCTACATTCCGAACGTATCGATCTTGTTTTGAATCGAGAGAGGAACTGTTTTCTAATTAAATCACTGTGCAGTAGAATTTTATTCAAAGAGACCGTGTCACTTTTTCGTCGATAAATACAGAAACGTCCAAGTCCGGGCCGCGTGTCCGTAAAACTGAATCACGTGCCTCGGATTTCACGTGCAAACGCGTGTTTACGCGTTCACAGAAAAATCGTATTTGTCCAAGATATAAAAAACATATTCAATATACGAACGTGTTAAAAAATGTAGTGAACATCATCGATGTTTCTAATGACCGAGAGAAATTTGTAATAGATCGCATTTTCTAAATCGATGTTACAATTTCATCTTGCTGACGGAAGCGAAACGATGGTAAGCACGATTTTCCTTTCGAGATCACGGGGAACAATAAAAATGATCCTTTCCTGAAGGAATCCAGAAGGAATGTCGGTTAAAGGCACGTTCGAGCGTACGTAAGTAGAATCGGACAGTAATAGTAGGACACGTTTCGATAGCCGTAGACACCGAGCGTCGCGTTTTCATTCTCGTTCTCGAGTTCCAAGTACACGGTTCACTTTCTACGAGCAAGCACCTGACCTGTGCCACCCAATAGGCTGCCCGGGTACTTTCCTCGCTCGAACTATTATTAACCGCGAGCAAATTCGCCGTTAAATCGCTCCACGGAGGATAACCACCGGCTTGTTCTCCTCGACAAGTTATCGCCGGCACACAAAGCTGCCGACATCCGTGGTTAAAGGGCATTTTCATTTTTCCTTTGTCGCGGTCGCTACACGATGATTCCTCGTTATCGCTTTTTCATCCGACAAGATTGATTATTTCATTAATCCAGACCGAGCTCTGGAAGTTGCCGATTCGGGTCAAGCATCCCGCGAAGAAAAAAAAGCCCACGGTTTCCATGTTTTCATTCATAACCGTGATAGCCGCTCGTTATCCGATGATAAATTTGCATCCGTCCAGGTTTTCCTCTTTACGAGTAGACGTCAAATTTTCTTAAACAACTTCTGCCGTATTCATCTTTGTCCCGAAATATTTTCGAGCGAACAAGCGCTTCAAACGCGATGAATACTTTGTCAGAAACTCGTGATTAATGGTGCACCGCGGAACGTACCGTTTACGCGCGAACGCTCTTACGGTTCTATCGACTAATGGATCGTTTATAATTCGTTTAATTGAAAAAGGTCGATTTCGAGTAGGCGCGAGGCTCGGGAACCGTTACGAAAATTCCAGTTTCTCTCGGCGTCGTCACCCGCCGAAGATTTCGAAAGGAAACCGCGTTCGATCGTACGAAATAAATTTCGTTTCCACTTTCCCCGCGCGGAATCCAGCGGTACTCTCGATACGCGTTAATTAATGCGTTTCAACTTTTCAATGAGATCGACACGATTCGTATCGGGCAGCCTCCTTCCGTCGATGACTTTCTCGTCCGTTGGAAATGGGTTCGACGCGGCTATCTACGCCATCGAATCCATTCGGTAAAACAAATTCTGGTACGTGTATTCTCTCTTCCACGGTGGCACCGGTACGCGCGTGTTCGTGTGCGGGGGCATGAACACACGCGATTTCCTGCCTTTCTCTACCTGGCCAGCAAACTCTCGGCAAACGAAGCGAATCAAACGATAAGGCATTCACTTTGGCGCACACAACACACTGGCGTAGGTACGCGGACCCGAGTGTGGGCAGTGGGCAGCGGCTATTATAAACGAGACTTCTTATCTCTGAGAACTAACCGGCACGGCTCTTTCCCACGTTTTGTTGCTCCTGCAAAACGAGGGGAGGGCGTTTCCTTCGACGCGAACAACAGTGAAAGATAGCTCGAATTTCGTTCTAACCCTGGTGCCGCCGGTTTCTCTCATTACCATTTCTCTTCTACTCCTGAAATCTTTCTAACTCCGCTCTGACCCGGCCACCTCTGATTCCATTATCATTCGGCAAAACTTTCACCGAACGTTTTTCCCATTTAACCCATTGACACACATGTACGATCGCCGAACTGATCAATACCAAGCGCCACTGTTCTTTGTCAGTTCGTTCGCTCGTACCGTTCGTACGAAACGTCGTATTAATTTTTGTTAGAAAATAGAAGAACGTGCGTATTTGGCCACTTTCTTGATTTGGTTCCCTCTCGGAACGCGGTGATTTATAAATCTCAATTCTGGGAATAAATCACTGTTTCGAGAAACGGTGGCGTCTACTTTCTATTCCTCGATTGTCGTCGTTCCACGAATTCGAGTGCACGATGAAAAATATTCGAGGAATGGTAGAAATTTTATTGCAACTTTCTCAGAGGTATCATCGTAACTTCGAAATTCGAAGTGAGCTATCGCGGTAAAAAGGATTGTTCGTATAATTTATCGATGATTATCGATGGCCAACTCGTTCTACGGACCTCTGCTCTTCGAAAGAACGTTTATTTATAAATTTTGTACGCGTTCGTCGATTCTACGGGACAAACTCAAAGAGCAATCTTTATCTAGGAACCGTAGCATCGATGCGGCATGAAATCGTACCGAAAGAGACACATTTGAA